AGTATTATTCAGTGTAATACCATTAAAATTAAACACTGAGATGAAAATTAGTGTAAATAAAGAGTTTATATTAGAGACTAAAGCATTCCCTGGATATATTCTAGCGAGTAAACTATTTGAAGATATAGATGATTTATTAGAAACATTTCCATCTTTAAAAAGTAAAGAACTAGGTATGTTTTATCAATATGTAGAAAAATATTCTGATAATGAACTTTCATATGGAGGAATACATTACATAAATATAGAACATGATAGATTACACCTGGCTGAATATGAAGTAAAAGATCTTTTAATGGATTGACATACTTATTATTTTCCAAATAGTGGAATTTATTTACGTGATGATGTAATGCCTGAAGAGGCTACTTTACAATTTAAAATAATAACTTATCCAGCACCTCCTATAACCCCTTTGGGAATAGTAGGAGGTGATCTAGGTTCTAAACCTACCCCTTTATATACAAATCCTGGCTTATTAACCCCATTATTAAGAAATGAAATACTTTCTAACTTTTTCTTTATACAAATAAAAAGAAAAATAATAAGCTTAATTAAAATTTTTTTTTACAACACAATGATAAAAATAATGATAATAAAGTCGGCAAATCCTTTTATAAGGATATCTTTGTCTAAATACTTTAGCAATATAACTAAATTTATAATATTAAATAGACAAAATTTCTGAATGCTCCTTGCAATCGTCATAATAGCCGCAATAGATTGCTTGGAGTACTTCCATTCAAGTGAATCTTCACTATTTCATTTAATCAGTTATAGCATAATATGCTATAACAACAAAGATCTTAAAAGTTTAACAGTAGATAAAGGTACTTGAAAAACATATGTTTTTCAGCATACGTTTTATGATAAATATAGATTTAAGAACGAATTTACAAATATTTGAAATGATATAATGAATTCAGTAGATAAGACTAAAGTCTTATCTTTACAATTATTAGCTAAATTTGATAATGGATCAATAAGATCTATTACAAAAATTGGAAAATATAGTAACGATCAATTTTTAGATGCCTATGATACTTTATATAAGAATCTTCATAAATTTTACGAAGAATATGAAGAAAAACAAACTTCAGAGGATAATAATCCTAAACTATATAAGCCTATCTTATTTGAAGAAACATCAAAAACTTCAATTAATAGATTAATCTACCTAGAATTGTCTAAAGAGAGTGAAGAATACTTAGAACTTCCTGATACTATGGACTTATGAAACTGAAATCCTAAAATTAAATTCTTAAATAATAAGCGTACATATTTAACCTTATTTTTATTATTATAAACTGTAAAACAAGAGCGAGGCGAATCGAACACCTACCTATGATTTTGAAGATCAATATACTACCACTATACTACACTCTCCCGGTCTATTAATATTGATATAATATTCTATATCCACTTTTAGAGTAAAATTTTTTACTGGATTTTAAAAAGAGGTAAATTTACAGCTTTAATATTGTTAATTATTTATGTGTAGGTACGGTATATTCTTCTAATCTAACCTTAGTATAAATTTTTCTAATATAGTATTTATTTTTAAATAGTTTACCAGATCTAATGTATCTTCCAATTGTACTTTTATAAATATTAAATTCATTAGATAATCTTACTTCATTTTTAAAAGTTTTAACTAGATTATTTTCCATATCATATAATCCTACTGGAGTTTTGCTGTTACCTAAAGAAAATTTTAATTTATCTATCATTAATACAGGCTCTGCTTTATCTATTTGAGTAGAATTATCTACTAACATTACAATATGTTGTCTATAAAATTTTTGGAGTAATTGTTTCTATTGAGTCAGTAGGGGCTAATTAATTCTTTTACTGTATCTCCAATATCTGGTGATCCAGTTTCTCCATCCAGTGGTGAAGTAGGGTAATAATATTAATATAACCCTATTCCTAGTATTATAATTAAAGCAGCTCCAGCTATATAATAGTAAGTGTTATCAGATACTACATTATTTAGATTAGATAACTCTTTATCTATAATATCCAGTTCTACATTAGGAGAATTTACTTTTTCTGTAGGTATTATTTAGATTATGACTATCTAAAGTATAATTTGATTTTAAACTTTGTTCTTTAAGTTTTAGAGGTAAAGGTAGTTCTAATTTTTTACTGATATTTAAACCAGAGAAGTTTAGTAAATCAGGTAAATATTGTCAATATTTACTCAATAAAGTAAATAAAGTAGTTAACATACAATTAATTAAGTAAATAATTAAGGCGTTTTTCGCGTATATTATAAAAGCACGGAAGCTAAATAAATTTTTAATCATCATCGGCTTCTGTTATATAATTTATACCCAATACTTTTATAATAAATTGGGAAAGCCATTAATGCTGGAGGCACTAAATCCTAAAGTTTACTTAGATTAAGGCCCTATAAAAATTTTTTTTGCAAGCTTAACTTGTATACAAATTTCTTTCAAGGAATCGAACCTTGACCGACAATTTAGAAAAATGTTGCTCTGCCATTAAGCTAAAAGAAAATAATTTATAAGAAATCCTAACTCTAAATAAAAATTAATGTTAAATAGAGTTAAGAAGGACTCGAACCTTATTGTTAAAAAACATCAATTTTGCAGATTGACTACAGAAACCCTCTGTATCTTAACTCCTTTTACTCTCTTATAATGGCTAAATTATTATAATCTAGCCTATACCATAACCTTAAGTGTATAAATTTACGAGCAAAGAGACTTGAACTCTTAAAACTTCTTGAGTCATATATTCCTAAAATACACCTGTCTACCATTTCAGCATACTCGCCGATTTTATATAATAAATTTAACAATTAAAGCTAGATAAGCTAATTTAACTACTTTTAAAATATTTTTATAAATTAACAGAATTTAAACTTTATATTTAAAGGGGTGTAGGGCTACCGCCCTACTGTGGCATCTTTACTGCTTAATATTGTTATTTATTTTTTTAATATAGTATTTTTTTTTAAGAGTTTACCAGTTTAACGTATTTTCCAATTGTATCTCTATGAACATTAAATTTTTTAGCTAATCTTACTTGACTTATATAAGTTTCAATTATATTATTATTTAGATCATATAATCCTAAAGGAGTTTTTTTTGCTTACGCCTAAAGAAATTTTTATTTTTCTTTCTAAGCTATGTCTATAACTTTTTAAAATTTGTATTGTTTTAGATGTATGTTTATAAGCTAATTCTAGATTAGCTTCTTTACTAAAATTATATAAATTTTCAAAAGGAAAACTTTTAATAACTTTAGTCTCTATATCAGTTAATATTACATTAGTATCATTATGAAAATAATAAATTACTAATATAAAACTGTCTAACCCATATTTATAAATACTTCTTTGTAATCTAATATTAGAATTTCTTCCTTTTAAATGACAATTAATTCTTTGATAAAGATTACAGCTACTTCCT